GAACTGCCAGGCCACCTAGTCACTATAGCAAATATTTCCATATCAGGCCCTATTATTGCTTGCACATTTACAGAAAAATACCCTTTTTTATTTCTGTATGCTTCAGAGTGAGCGATACCTTTGGGTCTATTAATTTTTATATGGGTGCAGTCAATAGCTCCGATTATACTGTTTAGGCCATGGTGAGTATTAGATCTTCCTAATTCTTCAAACTTCGTTTTGGCTGTGTTCATATTTCTTGGAAAATTTACAAATCTAGGAAGTAATTTACTCAACTCTGCAGAGACTTTATTTATAATTAAACAGACTGTAGATTGGCTTATGCTGTTCAGATCACCACACACCATCTGTAATGTCAATAAAGTATTATTAGTCACATATATGTTATGTTTCTGAAAGTCAGAAGACAAAAGTCTTCAACATATGTACTATTTAAAATCATTTGAGAAGAGGTATAATATATCAAATTGAAAAACCATACATATTTATGAACACAATATTACCTGAAAACATCCAGTTGCATTTTTATGCCTTAATGCAATAAGTATTTGCAATTGCGGTAGGTTTGGCGATCCTCTGTTGTTATAAGGTTGCAAGTTTGTAATGATCAGCGTCAGGATCACATTTAATACCGTGTGTTTCAAAATACGGTTCCTTCTTTTGAATTCATTCTCACCGTACAGGATGGAAGGATTTTGGTTTTATTAGTTCCGAACATATACAACACTTTAGGCATTCGTGGATTCATATCGGCTGCAGTTCCTACCCTTTCAATGTTTTCTATTGAAGATAGAACTCTCTCTCTCCATCATGTCACTTTCGATATTGATATTTCCAAGCGGTCCATGTAACAAAGCCAAATCACAAAACGTCACAGTGCTTCGGGAATGCGTAGGTCTTAAGTAGGTATACGATCCAGATTGGTCCAGGTCCAAGTCACAAAGCCAGTCGTTGTTTTGAAGAAATATCAATTTAATAAATTAAAGTGGTTTAAAATTTTCAATTGTTGATAGTTGATACAAGTGCTCTGTTGCTGTTGTCAAAACATTGCGATCCGTTCTACGTAATAAAATTATTGTCATCTTTAAATAATTAATACATTTTCTAAAGGTTACTTGTGAATTTCTAGTTATTGCAATAATAAAATAAATGAATACATAAATAACAATAAATTGAAGATATATGTGTACCGTTTTAGATTTTTAAATATTTGTTATTGTTAACTTTTTTAAAGGATAATAAACAAAGTATTGCATGAAATGAAACATCAATTTGTATTTTGACATTTTCTGTCTTAGCTTGGGCTTAGCTTAATCTCACCGTTAAAATGTCTATAAATACGAAATCATAGTTTAACCTTAGTGTACACTAAGCAAAGTTTTTCGTAAGGTAAGTCTGAGCAAAGTCCAAGTGCGCACTATAGATCTCACCCTCAGTCTATATGCCCAACACTCGCTCAGAAGGAAAACATCTTGAGAAACCCAGTATACCTTAGAGCCATTAAAGTCTATCAGAAAAATCCTAGAAGATTGTAGCGCCAGTGGTATTTACTTAAAAATCCTTTGATTAGAATACTTAGGGTGAGATCTATAGTGCGCACTTAGACTTTGCTCTGACTTAACTATCGAGCTAAGACACAGTCGGTATTTATAGAGCAAACTGCGAATCTCTCCCTAGTGTTGGCTTAGCTTAATCTCAAGTCCACGAAATCGACGACTTACCAAAAACTTTGACTATAAGCCTAACAAAAATGATGGCCCAAAATTTGCTTTACCATCATATCTTTTACTGGACTTTTTATTTTTGTCGGTTTTTAATGAACGGTGTTGCCATTTTGTATCGGAGTTCCATAGACTTTGGGAAAAATAGAATTTGAATTCAAAGAAATTATAAATGATCTTGATAAATACCTATGAAATGCATGAATTAAAATAATTACACATTATTATGGTATTTATTATTGTTTATTTATATTATTTATGTAATTGTTCAAACCCCATTTTTGAGAAATCTTAAAAATAACTGGTGTGATTTTGTATGTCACCTGGCAGCCCTGGCATATTATAGTGACAACGAAATCAAACTATAACCTAACCGATGTCTCTCGCTTCACATCTGTTATTTTCGTTTCCCTGAATCTTCTACCATTTATTACCTGACTACTCTAAAAAAATTGAGATAGGAGTGGAACATATGAAATTAAAAAATCTGTTGGAAATAGAATTTCTTCAACAAAAATATAAATTAGTATTAGAAATATGTATTACACTTAAAAAAAGAATCAGAAAATAAATGATTAAAATGAAACAAGTTTTGTTTTGATATTCTTTATTACCAAACAAATTACCTAGTTAAATTGTGCAATCACAGATTGCCGGAATGCTAGACCTGTAGGAGATCTTTCATTGTTCTGTGTTACTCAACTTCTGCTGTCAGCAAGATCACCATCATCATAGGCATCCCCTCTCTGTATACCTATATTATGCAATACAACACAAGCTATAATTATATTTAACTAGTATTTGTCAATTTTGACTGTAGTCCTAGCTGTAAACATGGAAATTTCCTTTATCACACTCCGAAAAACCTTTAAAAAATATGCCTAGTTCTTATTTGAGAATAATTATAAATATTGGCAGCTCTTGTCATTGGATTTAAAAGTGTTGTTAACATGAAGTTAAGTGCTGGATAACCGCTGTCACCTACTAAAACAGGCATTTTCTAAATATCCTGCTGTCGTGTGAACTGCCAGGCCACCTAGTCACTATAGCAAATATTTCCATATCAGGCCCTATTATTGCTTGCACATTTACAGAAAAATACCCTTTTTTATTTCTGTATGCTTCAGAGTGAGTGATACTTTGGGTCTATTAATTTTAATATGGGTGCAGTCAATAGCTTCGATTATACTGTTTAGGCCATGGTGAGTATTAGATCTTCCTAATTCTTCAAACTTCGTTATGGCTGTGTTCATATTTCTTAGAAAATTTACAAATCTAGGAAGTAATTTACTCAACTCTGCAGAGACTTTATTTATAATTAAACAGACTGTAGATTGGCTTATGCTGTTCAGATCACCACACACCATCTGTAATGTCAATAAATTATTATTAGTCACATATATGTTATGTTTCTGAAAGTCAGAAGACAAAAGTCTTCAACATATGTATTTAAAATCATTTGAGAAGAGGTATAATATATCAAATTGAAAAACCATACATATTTATGAACACAATATTACCTGAAAATATCCAGTTGCATTTTTATGCCTTAATGCAATAAGTATTTGCAATTGCGGTAGGTTTGGCGATCCTCTGTTGTTATAAGGTTGCAAGTTTGTAATGATCAGCGTCAGGATCACATTTAATACCGTGTGTTTCAAAATACGGTTCCTTCTTTTGAATTCATTCTCACCGTACAGGATGGAAGGATTTTGGTTTTATTAGTTCCGAACATATACTTTAGGCATTCGTGGATTCATATCGGCTGCAGTTCCTACCCTTTCAATGTTTTCTATTGAAGATAGAACTCTCTCTCTCCATCATGTCACTTTCGATATTGATATTTCCAAGCGGTCCATGTAACAAAGCCAAATCACAAAACGTCACAGTGCTTCGGGAATGCGTAGGAGTTAAGTAGGTATACGATCCAGATTGGTCCAGGTCCAAGTCACAAAGCCAGTCGTTTTTTTGAAGAAAGTTAAATTTAATATTTATAAGCTCATACAAACAGAAACAGAAAAGAGAAAAAGTGGTTTAAAATTTTCAATTGTTGATACAAGTGCTCTGTTGCTGTTGTCAAAACATTGCGATCCGTTCTACGTAATAAAATTATTGTCATCTTTAAATAATTAATACATTTTCTAAAGGTTACTCGTAAATTTCTAGTTATTGCAATAATAAAATAAATGAATACATAAATAACAATAAATTGAAGATATATGTGTACCGTTTTAGATGTTTAAATATTTGTTATTGTTTACTTTTTTAAAGGATAATAAACAAAGTATTGCATGAAATGAAACATCAATTTGTATTTTGACATTTTCTGTCTTAGCTTGGGCTTAGCTTAATCTCACCGTTAAAATGTCTATAAATACGAAATCATAGTTTAACCTTAGTGTACACTAAGCAAAGTTTTTCGTAAGGTAAGTCTGAGCAAAGTCCAAGTGCGCACTATAGATCTCACCCTTAGACATTTTCCCTTTTCATAAATATAAATAATAATATTTGTTAATAAACTTTGCGATACTTGGTTCCGAAACGTAACAATAGAATAATAAATTTTTATTACTGCCATCATAATAAAACTTAGAGGAATCGTAATAATGTTATATATTTGTTTATTTAGTAAACCTTACAGCTTACTAAATATAATTCAAAATAATTTTTAAATTAAAATGCCAATTAAAAGGTTTATAAACTAAACAATAATAATACAGAGAGAAATGCGTGTAAGGTGTGGGTGTGTCTGTGTGTTGTAAAATTGGCTTGATTCAGTGACATCTTAATATATGTATATAAATTACGCGTCACGTCGTTTGTCCGCTATGGACTCCTAAACTACTCAACCGATTTCAATCAAATTTGCACACCGTGTGCAGTTTGATCTAACTTAAAAGAAAGGATAACTTACTTCTTAATTTATACTCGCAATATAATTTTATTGCATGTTATTTGTTTATTATTTAATAGTCACAATTCTAACAGATGGCGCTGTGTTGAAAGTACCAACGTTTCACATGGCATGGTGGTCCCCATGACTGGTGTTCTCCTACCGTTTCCCTTGAATAGTTTACTACTATGTAATATAACAAAAACCTTAGCCACAGCAACGCTTGGCCGAGTCTGATAGTATGTATATATATGTATTAACTAAGCACCCGTGTTTCGAGAGCAAAGAGACTACAAAAGTGTGTTTTTCAAACAAATTTCACAAGAAAAATCATCTAGATTCTAAGCAATTCAATAGCGCCGAGTATTTTACGAACGAATTCTCACCTTAGTATGTGATTCTCTGAAGACATAGGGTCCCAGCTGTTCCACTTGCACAGTTTTAGCTGTTCGAGCGATAATTTCATCCACATTTGTGATGTTGAACATGTAGCATTCCAGGTACATTGGAATAGGAACTTCTCGCCAAATGGAGAAAGATGTAGATTCTTCCGAGAGGATCATCATCTGCAATTGACACAGTTTATAAAATCCAACATATGAATGCTAACTTATTTATGTAATTAAACTAAGAAGTTCATATGTATGGTGTTTTTAAATTAAGTCTGATTGATTAATTGATTTATAATAATTCTTAATTAATCGTATACAAAGTATCACGTTGTTTGTTTTCAATATACGAAAGTGTCAGTAACTCCAAATGGTTGGTTTATAAAATCAATCACAGACGAACCCAGGAAGGTTCACAACAAACTAACTGTCAATTGTTAATGTACGAGTATTCAATTTGGACCGGGAACATTTAGATCTAAATTCTAGATTACAAAGAACGTAGAAAAAAATTTGTCTAAAAGCTCGCAGTATTAAAACTACCTAGACCGAATTAAAGGCAAATATAATTTATGCATGTGATTTTGATGTCTCTAATACTATGCTAGTACTCAATTCAATTGAATGAATTAAACAAAAACAACATTTAAATGACTTAATTTAATTGATTGCGTTTCATTATAGGACGTCAAGGCAGAATACAAAATACCATCCGTAGCACCTCGACGTTCGTCGTTCAACAACTGAGCGTGTCTTAAGGCAGTTTTTGCCAGCACCACTACGTGGAACCAGCTGCCCACTGAAGTATTTCCGAACCAATTCGACTTATGTCCTTCAAGAGAAGAACGTACCAATTCTTAAACCTCTTCGCCATGGGCGGCAGTATCACTTAACATCAGGTGAGCCTCCTGCCCGTTTGCCTCCTATTACAGAAAATTAAGTCTGCACTATAGCGAATTATTATATCGAGGTTCGTGGGCGACAGTCTGTTATCTAAACAATACAATTGTACAGGAAGTAGCGTACACTGTATATATGATAATTCTTAATGGGACAGGGCATAGGCAACTACCTACTTCTTATATATCGATCTAGACAAGTAGTCTAATCTGGTGTAACTAAATAGATCTCTCATTTAGGCAAGCTGTAGAAGGTACCACTGTCAAAGCTTATATATTAAAAATTAGAATATATCCAAAAGTGACCATGGTTTAGACTTTTATTTGTACACTATTGTGACTATTGTTCTTAGTCTTAAAATTCCCTATAATTTTTATTCAGTACATAACTCGTAAAGTATTTTTATCACTTTTACATGATACGGTATAACAAACATGATACTATCACAAATCTACAATTTATAAAAAGGCAATAAGGGATTCATATCTATATAAATAATTAGAAATTAATCGCAAAGTATGTTGCTAAGCTCAAAACTCGAAGACTGCTCGACCAATTCGATTTTATGAAGAGAAAAATTGCATACCTAAAAACCTATTTTGTTTTCCCGCAATTGAGAACGCAATATTATATTATATTGGAATGTTGCTACTTAAGTGGTAAACCCCCCTCGCGTTTGAATAAAATTCATCATGCTCAATGGTTTTGTAAAAAATCATGTTAAGGCCAAAAGTAAGCAGAGAATTTTTAAATCTAGAATACTTTAATTCACTTAATTCTGCTATTTTGTTTTAAATTATAATTAGAGACGTAAAAGCATGAATATTCGTACTACAAACCAGAGCTAGCTTAATAAAGGAATTAGTATGTATAGCAATCAATATTTTATCGTTAATTAGAAAATCACATGATCATATCGTGGTATTACTTCATTCCTAGTCATAATACATGATATAATTATATGGTACATTTGTAGAAAAGCACCTCCGCATGACCGCACATTGCGTTACCTGGAGATTCTGGTTCGAGCTTCGGCGAAATAATTATAGTTTGAGGTTAGTTGACATTTGTGCCTCAAAGGAGTCAATGGAAAGCACGCAACATTCTGCCATAAAAATTATCAATGAAACAAATAAAAATCAAATAAATGAATAACATACGAAATGATATGCATTAAAATAAAAATAAAATAAAATATGTTTATTATGGAATATAAGATACAGGTATCACTTATTCCACGTCAATAAATTTGAATCGGTACACATCCCTACATATCGGCAAAGAAGACAGAGGGTGTAGGCCGAGAGAAAAAGCGGGCGTAAAAAACTCTCGGTACTCTTTTAAAATAGCAAATCGTCAAACATTCTGTAGTGTATAGAACTGTTAAAAATACACCTTATTCATAGATATTGATATCACTTTGGTCACTATAAGATGTTAGGTTAGCGAATTACGTAATAAATTAAGACAGAAGGCACTTAATAAATTAACCGACTTGGTATTTATATGTATCTCACAACTTTTTACGGTAGAAGAACAGAGTAGCGAAACTTTGTTTTTTTCATGTTATGTTATTCATGGCATTTCATTCTTACACTTTTCAGCTGATTGAAGAACAAGGTTGGCCAAAATATCACCATGACAGCTCCGACAACTACCATTACGGAGCCGCAACCCATCAAACATCCACTCTTCTTCCCCGACGAAACCATGTTACCAGCTTATCTGAAACAAACATATGTTTGAAATATCATAACCACTGAAATAAAGACATGCCAATCCTGAAGAAGGAACCTCAGCCACATCAATGGATTTTTTCCCCTATGAGCGCTTTCCACATTTGCTCGTATTGCTCGAATATTTTAGATTCAAACATTCACCTCAGGCTCCCAAGTCTGTAATCCTACTTGCCTACAGGAAACTTCAGAACCTAATTCCCCGCAAATAATAAAAGACTAGACAAGCGAAGCTTAAGCAGCATTTATTTGCGCATACGCAGACAGTTCTAAACGAGATTCAGCGTATTTTGTTAAATTACCTATAGACAGAACTGTGTCACTATCGCAGTGGCGTAACAATAGGGTGGCAGGGCTGGCAAAATGCCACGGGCCCCTGACCTAAGAGGGCCCCTGCCCAAGAGATATTATGTTCTATGGATGAATGTGAAGTCTCAAATACGCGCTACAGACCATTCCCTCTCGCCTAAGAGAGGAGGCCTATGGCCATTAATAGGACATATACAACGTATAATTGATTACGGTGAAAATTTATTAAAATTAAACTGAGTACAACGTGTCTTACTGATAGAGCCCCATCAAAAGAATTTGCCACGGGCCCGAGATGGTATAGTTACGCCACTGCACTATCGGTATAATTCTATGAATTTCTACCACGAACCACCAGGTCATGTAATACAGGATTTGTTGAAGGCTTGGTAATTATGTTTAAAGGATATCTACCAACAAGATATTTAGTAATACATATAAATTATTTTTATTCACGAATTCAAACAAGACTCCTAATTGTGACGTTTCGACATTCACATTACCTTAAGATAATAATATTGCCTAAAATTAATAATCAAACAAAATCTATCAAGATCTAAACAAAATTAATTAGACAAGTTGAGTGCCATACTATATGATAAAAGGATTATATGATAACAAAAGGTGCCTGGAAAATTTTAAACATATTAGGGACTTTTCGTGTTATCGAATTTCTTCTAGTCATAATGAATCAAATAAAAAATAACAACTTATTTGGTAATTTATATTTTGAAATTCCGCATTATTCACAATACCTATACATATATGCATATTTGTAAACTTGAGCTAGCAATCATTGGTTTTTACGTCAAATTATATCTTATTTTATAATGAAATGGAGGTAGGCATGTGTAAAAAATGAGTTCATCATATTATTTCACAAACATTTAAAGCCAATTATTATATTTAATGATATAACACACCACTTGGAAACAAAATGTTTGGGTTTTAATAAGCAAGGCCCGTGACTAAGTGGTTTTGTGAAGGCGTATACATCTGAAAACTGGTCTCTTGGTTTCTATACCAAAATTGTCAGAGAAAAGCTACTTCTCAGGGTATTTGGTGAGTATGATAACATTTTTATGGTTATTGTACTGCAGTAAAAAGAACATGTACACTTATGACCAAAGATGGGCATTGTATACATGAACCTCTTAAATAGATAGTGTAGGTAGAGAATAGAGTCTAGGTAATTCTAAGGCGACCCCTGGGGTTCCTTTAAATTCAACATAATTATGTACTTGAAAAATTTGTCTGCAATACATTAATTACAAATCATGAAAGAAGTTGATATACTTCTAAATAGACACATCGGGATCTTTTTATTGAGAAAATTACAGGTTAAAACTTTAAACACATGGCCTGTTATCTTGTAATACTTCATGATAAGTTACTAATTATGTCAATTGATAATCCCAACAAATTTTATCTTATAATGTTTCTGCTGATTAATACAAATTCAATGTTATAATCTGCAACTTTGTATATAAGACAATATAAAATCTAATTAATAAAGAACATGTAAAATACTATCTTTATTGGACTATTTCTCCATTACATACATATGAATGTATGTATGAATACATACTAAAAACACCATAGTGAATGCACATCCAATGGGATGCAATGGCAATGAATTTTTCTACTGAAAGAAGAATTGTTTGGAGTAGGAATGTCAGATAGGCTTCACATTAGTAAACAAAAAACTATCAGAGAAACAGTGTTTATTTCCCAAATATGTTAAATATTTATGTTTTAATTAATAATAAATTAATTTTGAAAATACTAAGAGATTTAACTAGTACTTATAATTAATATTAATACTACTAAATAAATGTATGTATTGCAATAATTAACATGAGTTATTTATGATAGAGACATACCTACTTGTGTAATAGCAAGAATGTTTTTTGTTATTTATATTTTTTTTTCTGAGCGCATTCTTTGTTACCTTTTATAAGTGTGGATATAGTATAACACCAGAAACTTTATAAATACTGAGGGTAAAAATAATATATAATTTTTCCTAAGAAACAAGTACATATATTTTTATTACCAATCATAATCAGGACCCAGATACAAATCCACTCATATGTAATCTTAACTTTAAGCCTTATCCTTAAATAATTCTACAATTCTAAAGGTACATATTATTTATTTATCATTTATTGAATTGACTTAATGCACATGCAATAGGTATTTTACTTAAAAAATAATTAGTTATTAGGACACCTAGAAATCATGCATATAAAGTTCAGTATTGAAATAAATTACACAGCACAGCAGTCTTAAAAGGAAAATATACTTCTGCTCATCTAATGACACCTATTGCTAAACACACATCTTATGGTCTCATTTACTATTTACATAACATCTATATGTTTATGTATTCTATTGTTAGACAACTCAATATATATATATATACAAAACAAATTTAGGAACATTGATATGGATAAAAAAATTTAATGGTACAAATTATTTAATTAGGAGATAGGTCTTTGTTTACAACGGATGATTTTATTAAATTACGGAGTTAATCGTTTTCTTTATCTAAAATAAACGAACACATATTTAATAACACACTTAATAACTAAACAAAATTTTTACCAAAAAAAATAAGAACTATAAATAATACTTACGTGTAAATAAATGAAGCTAAACGTGCAAAAATCACATTTGTTTAATTTTCACCAGAATATGGAGTCAGCATAAACTTTTAATTTAACTGGCACAAACAGTTGTCGGTTTACATACACCGATAACAATTATTTGCAAGATAATAAGGTCACATGAACATACGTCCACATTCCACCAGTATTTAGTTTCAACTTGCTTGTTCATTGTGAAGTTAATTATTGCAAAGAAATTTACAAACTCACACTAGATTACAACTGCTAAATTTATCAACAAAATTACTTCAAATTATCAAGTGTCAGCCATCAAGTTTTTGAATGACAATGACAATTAATTTTCAAACTTGTTTTTTTTTTTTTTTTTGGAGTTTATGGCCTGGTATCTAAACCTTTAAGTCTTGAGTATTTTTATGACCATAACGCAGTCTGTCTATAGTCGTAATAAAGCCCCGACTTTGAAATATTATCAATGGGCACTTGTAGTTTGTACTAATTGTTGAAAATGTACGATTTTTCAGTACCATTTCGTAATGAAACGAATATACTCCACCGGCAAGTATTATGTTCGGGGAATTCGCCAACAACTTAACGTATGCCTAGATCTTTTACTTGAATGAAGACCCTTTTTTCATAAAAATTCTGTATTTGTGTGCATTGTTACAAAACTTATTATATACTCTTGTAAAGAGTTATATTTTACGCAAGAATGGGTATTGGGTAGTGAAAATGAAGAGCGACCCACACCAGGTACTCCTAAAAAGAAATTAGCCAAAAGAGGAGAGCTTTCTGCAACAGAGAGGAACAAACCAAGGGCCCGGTAAAACAAATTTAAAGCCAGATGCACTGTTTGTGATGTCGAAATGGTTTCAGAATATGGAGTTTTAAAGTTACACTATTTAAGGCAAAGGCAACCAGTAATTTTAAAGAAAACTTTCCACTTTTATTCATAGTCACATTCATCCATAGAATATATCTCTTGGACAGGGACCCCTCTTGGGTCGGGGGCCCGTGATATTTTGCCAGCCCTCCCACACAATTGTTACGCCACTGTCTATTCACTTTCTTCCTATATCTACAAACCTCTTGCTAGCTCAATCCCATCTTTCTTTTCTAAATTATGCTGGCTCTTCCGACATAAATACAAAGCACGAGTGCCTATAAAACTAATTTAATCGATTTTGGATTGCGAAAATATGATTTATATTTATCGGAAGCAACTATCGGGTGGCTAACATTCTTCATCTTCTTTACTCCATCTTATTTATCACCAAAACTACCTACCTCAAAAAAAATCAAGTTTATAGTTACAATTATGCTTTACACTCCGCAGAAACGGATATTACTTGAAGTTATAGGTCTGCTATAACATAAACTTTGTTAGAACATATTTTACTGTGTCGGCTATAAAGCATTGAAATTCCCTTCCTTATTATTTCGGTTAGATAGATTAAGTTCGGCTTCTTCACTATCGTCTTTCAAATCTCTCATACATAAGCACTTCCTGTCCGTATCGTACTCTCCTGTGTAACAGTGTAGCTTTCATAATTTTTATCTTTACATTTTTTGACGTGACAACATCTAATAAATCCATGAACGCCATCTGCACGCACGAAACAGCATGACTCATTGTCCAGTTACGCTCATTGTATGTATGGCCTATGCTTCCGAGGATTCACTCCTTTGTATCCATACAAAATAGTGATAATTCATTAAAAAGGATTCAATTTATTCATAAAAGTTTGCAATCATTTCATCAATGTTTTGTTATGACGTCACGTTAAACTATCGTCCGTAAACCGACTTTACAGACCATTTTTTTTTATAAAATAAGGGCGAGTACACATTAGGCGCTCGGCCTTGCGCGTTGGTAGCGTACATACAGCGCGCTTAGCACGGCGTTTTACGAGCGTTAGTAGGGCGTCCATACTCGGCTCACTTCGGAAATGGACGTCGAAATGATTTCTTGTGTGTGGCTTCTTTACCGTCGCTACAGAAGACGACGGCAGAGACAAAGAGAATTTTGGGTGCACCCAA